AACCGATCTCGAATCACCAATACATCCTTATCCGGCATGATCCCATCTCTCGCCATCTTCTGAGTGTTCATGAGATCGAAGGTGATAAGGTCACCAAATGCCTTCAATTTCCGTTTGAAAGCTCCCTTGCTAGTCTTGTAGTGCTTCATCTTTGCTCTCACACACATGACTTGCAGTATGGGTTCTTGTATCGGTGCGTCATCAGGTGCAGTATGGATTTCGCCTCGTTCTTCAGCACTCCTGGTTTTGATAGTCTGGCTTCCCCGTCAACCACATCGACTTCCAATAGTCCCTCTTCATCTTCACCAATGTCACTCTCCTCTCGTTCTGAATCCGCATCACCTCCATGTTCGTCGTCTTCGGTTTCTTCAGGTTGACCATCGTGATCACGATCGATTCTCGGGTCTTCTCCGTCATATTCCTCTTCAGGAGAATACCTATCATCACCGTGTTCCTCTGGTTCTCCTTCGACGCCTGCAACAGCTGGATTGATATCAGATTCACCATCCCGATCTCTCTGGTTATCTCTCTTCTTTCTCCTCCGTCTCCGTGGTTTCTTAGGCGGAGGTTCCTCTTGTTGTGTCTCCTGACCTGCTGTGGCCTCGTCTTCATGCCCCACACCTGACAGTATGCGATGAAGTATCGTAGCCAAGCCGTCTGGTCTTGGTAAACATCTCCCGTCATCATCATTCACCTTGATGTAGGGTATGTTGTCATGCACCGATAGCGGAATCTTGTTCGCGTTCTGGTCAATGAGGTATGGCAACTGATTTGCCGGCCATATGAATGAATACCCTTGTTCCATGCACCGTTTCCCGATGGAGAAGACTGATGGTGTGCTCTCCAACACGTGTGCCTCGGACATCATGGGTAGTTCGTCCACATTGATGTCCACCATCTCTGATGTACTAGTTACGCCATTCGCTGTCATGAAGCTCACGGATTTGGGTCCTTCCTTGGTGGTAAGGCCCATGGCATTGACTTTCTCTCTTGAGATCAAGTCGTGTCCACATCCCGTGTCCATGATGAAGCGTATCGGTGGTCCATCATACCTCTCCACAGCCATGAACATCGTGTCTCCTGGTATCGTGTAGTTGACAGGATCCTTCCTTACTACCTCGCTGGTGTTGAAGTCAGACAGGTCGACGTTCACCTCGATTCCTTCATCTTGAGTGATTTGTATCCATGCCTTGGCAATGTGTTCAGCAGAGTATAGCTCCATCATCTTACCTTTGGCATGTGCTACTCGTGCAGCTATATTGTTCACTCTGAGGGCTCTCAACGACGAAATGAGCTCGGTATCCACCTTCTGCACCTCATCCTTCTTCTTCCTGAGAGGACGGGTATTTAGCTCGTTACCAGGATCACAGGTAAACGTAGTCACACTCGCCCGGTCGTCGAATCTGACTTTAAAGCGAAGCGCCAGCTTACCTTGTTGTACGTTGGGAAGTGCGGGTCGCGCGTCCTCGCCATCACTCTCGATGTCTCCGCAAAGCATGAAGGCTGGCGCAGCCGGTTTGGGCTTGGCTTTCCCTTTAGCCTCTTGTTTTGTAGCAGGAGCAGCGTGATGCTGGCGTCGACATTTGTCCCCGAACTTGCACGATCCTTTCTGCCAATTCCAACAGACCTGATCCTTCATCGGCTTAGGGCTAGTGCTCCTGCCACCAGGACTCTTTGATCTGTCACCCTTGAGGCTTTCTGGTTTCTTAGCAGAACTTTTGTGCTTTTCTTGGTGACTAAACTTGCATTTGTCTCCTCTAGAACATCCGTTTTTCCCATGAAAGTGGAAGGCGCATCCTATCTTGGACGTATCTGCTGGAGTCGCTGACCTGCCACGATCCCCCTTTGGGCTCTTCGTGGTTGATCTTCCACGATCCTGCTTCTTGTCCTTCTTGTTGTGGTCCTTCGGATTAGCCTGAGGAAGTACTGGAGCGGCGTCCTTCGGTGGATCGGCCTTGGTATTCTTGGGTTTCGCCTTAGGGTCCTTCTTCTCCGCCGCTGGTGTGGCTTTCATGAGGTTCCCAAAGGCTTTTTCCCTTTCTTTCTTGTTTGTGGTCTCGATTGATTTCCGTATCCACTTCGCCATGATCTCTCGTAACTTCTGGTAGGTCTTATCCGGGTCCTTATCCAACATATTGTCGTACACAGACAAGTCTAACGCCATGACCTTGGAATCCTTAATCTTGTCCCAAAGCAAGTTGCGGAGTGCTTTGTCAGGAAGCATGTCGTCCGCATCCATACCTGATATGATCTCATCCCACTGTCCAAGGAATCTGGATAGTTGATTATCCCCAGGGAACTTTAGATCGAATAAGTGCTTGGATGCATACATCACATCGACGTTGTCGGCACTCCGGAAGCTATCGACGATCAACGCTAACATTTCTCGTCCCTTGACCATTCCAGGAGTTGTACCTCTCGCACGTCTCTGCATCATCTGCCTCACCTTCAGTTGTACGTCATGAGATCTCTCACCTGCTGCGTGGATGATCGTGTGTAGGGTGATACCTAGCTTAGCATCTATGCTAGCGAATCTTGCTTCGCCTGATGTCTCGAGCAGAAATGGGTCATATGGTGATCTGAAGGCATCCGAGAGCCACTGGATCCAGTCTTCTTGTCTTTCGTCGCCCGATGCCGTCACGACTGCCGCTACGACCTGGGATTTCCAAACCTCCAGGTCGTGTATCTTGGGCCATGCAGGGATGTTGATCTTCTCGTGTTCCTTCCGAGATATCTTGGAGCCACCCGAGCTAGAGGATGAAGCAGCACCATGTTCGGTTGCGGCTGCATTCTCAGCATTCAAGCGCTCCTCTTCGTACCTCCTCCGGTACTTATTCCTCTCATCTCTGAGCCGTGCTGCATGCGCTTCGAATTCCATCATGTCCTGTTGGTTCTGCATCATACCTTCGTAGTACTCCATTGCCTCTTTCTCCTCGGACCTTAATGACTTTTCGGTACGTCCAAGTTCCGCTCTAAGCTTGGTCATCATCTCGCTCTCCACATTGGGTCCTGATCCCATGTCTGGTGGTTTCAACTCCAGTGCGACCTTCAGTTGTGCTTCACTTGCACTTGATTCGATCAATTCTTCCTGAAGACGTTTCAGCATCCTATCTTTACGTAGAATGTCCTCTTCCAACATGTTCACCTTGACCTCGGTTTTCTTGAGCTCGGCGTTGGATGGTTGAGACGGTCGACCGGATCCTTGAATCCTCGCCTGTGTCAACTCCTCGTTCGCCCTCTTCAATTGCTCCCTGATGGTCATGATGAAATTGTCCTGATTATAAGATCGGTTGTTGAGCTCCTCATTCTCTTCTGATAACCATTTGATCTTGCTTGCATACATTGCTTCCTTCATCTTCATCTCCTCAGTATATTCGTGTTTGTTCCTGGCATTTTGCCTTTGTAGTCCAACTAACTCCTGTCTATACAGATCCCTAATGTTCTCAGCATCTGCGATTGCAGTCATGAGCTCGGTTACGGCTCGATCTCTTTCCGCCGATATAGCCTGGATCTCTTCCGTGCCGATGTTCACAACTTGACTAACCATCTCTGCGCTGTTGCGATCAGCGTACTCCCCTAACTGGGTGAGACGATCCCGCATTGCCACACGATCAGTGTCAATCTGGTATTGCAAATCGTGTGCTGCTGAGAGCAAACAGTCTCTGGATTCTGTAAGTTGGGAGATTCTTCGTTGATTTCCATATCCTTCGACATAACATTCTTCGAGGTGTGCCATCACTACTTCGTGGACTTCGGTCTCGTGTTGTATAATCTGGTTCTGTCTCTGCTCACATTCGACCATCCATGCGTTTTGGTGGTTCAACATATGCACTTCGGCAATTAGTTGTGCACACTTCGCATTGAGGTCTCCATCGGCCCGTGCTAGTTGTAGGTTGTCAGTGCTTGCCCTTGCTCCATCTCCAGCTTCGCTGTCCGACGGTACTGGTACAGTTGACCCATCCTCCAATGCTAGCACTCTCACAGCTCCGGTGTCAGTTCTCCTCCTTGTCTCCCTAGGACTACGGCCTGATCTCGGTGTCCCCCCCGGTGGTGTCGAGTGCGCTGACGGGGAACGACTTCGTGCTCTACCTGTCGCAACTTCTCTCACCACTGTCAGAGTCTCCGCTTCGATCGTACCTGGACTAGAGTTGTGGGATGCACTCATCCGATCTGCGGCCGCAGCAGCTGCTCCAAAGGATGCAGTGCTGGCGTCGGATTGGTCCATCTTCAGTGACTGAGGGTAACTGATCTATCCGATGCGTGTGCGTTTAGATGGTGTTGTGTAAGGCCGCAGCTCGTACCCAGCTCAAAGGAGTCTGGATACGGCTGATAACCTGCGAACGGATGGAAAGGTGTGCCCTGGCCCCGTTCTAGCCCTTAGGTTGACATGAAGCTCGCGCGCTAAAGCTCCTTTTTACCTGGTTGGGCACTTGAGCCAAAAGTATATGGCATGTACCTGTATAGCGACTATACTGGGACCCCATCCCTGTTGACACATATATATATTATACATACATACAACATATATATATATATATTATAGCGGTGTATATTTAATACACAATATACATAATGATACTGATCACAATAATAGATGTATACTCGCTCCTCTTAATGTTCACCGTTGATTTGTACCCCTTTCCCCCGAGATGTGTGCCATATCTCCGGAAGGGCGAATGAACCGTCAACATGACACTTAGGGACTGCATCATGTCGAGACTTAGGAGTGTTTTGGCTTTTGACCCAAACACGTTCACAAGGAGATGAGAGAAGAAGCGACTTGGAGTGCAGTCCTCCAGGAATATATCATCCATCAAATGAACCCCAGAGTTTGCCTGATGATTGTAGAGATAAATATGTGGCCACAAGAAGAAAGCACACCCTGTAGCCTCTCAAAATATGGAGAGCCCAGTGGTTTGTTGTGTTTGTTTAGACTACAAGTAATTATCCGATTGTGCCCCGTCTTGTGCCACCTGAATGTGTATCCGACCCAGATGCACCTCCTTGGCGGCTGCGTGCTTCGATGCCACCTGAGACATCTCCTTTCGCGTCGTGTCCTCGGCACCAAAGGGACCGAAAGGCGCAGCATGGCCGGTGGGTTTGGTGGGGAAGCTGCAAGGCTCTCGGGCTGGAAGCATTCGACAGCTGGACATGGGTTGTGTGTTGCGTTGCATTCGGGTTTTCTTTTCCCACACCTCACCTGCGAAGGGTGAAGAGCATTCAGTTAAGCCGGATCATGCCCTTCGATGATCTTTGATTAGCATATACTCCGGAAAACGAACGCGGGCAAACAGGATCGAAACTGCTAGCTGGGGGTCTATGCTGTGTGAAATCCACCAGCTCTGAATCAAGTATCGAGGTCCCATTCCTCAGTGCTATTGTTCTCTCATGTTCATGCTGGATATTGGGTCTACGCAAGTTACCTTAGAAGGTAATTATACTATTCAGTATTATTGCAATTTGTGAGGTAGAGAGTTACGAAACGAAGAACTTCTCGTTGTCCAAAAGCCCCTCAAGGCTTCTTACACTGTACCTGTGTACCAAACGAAGCAAGAGCGGCCCGAATTTGAGACTGGGACCGGCACTTTTTGAGTGGAACGGGGCCTGGTCAATTGATAATGGGATTTCCACCAATCCCTGGGTGAGGTGCTAAAATGGAAGGAAAGGAATTCCTGAATGAAACCAAATGACAAGCTTGCACTGCCTCGAACAAACACATAGGGATTCATGAGCATACTAAATTCCAAGAACCTCAATACTTTGGCAATCCTCAACCCCAACAACTGCCGCTCGGCATCTGGCCTTTTGACTACTTCGCCGGTCGGAAATATGACGGTTTGTGTCATTGAATTGGTGAAACCTTGCATTCTACGACCAAAATCTTTGAGATCTTTCACCCTCTTCGGGCACTCAAATCACATCCACAGCCTGTGATCAGGTTGCGGCACTCAAATTCCACATCCATTCGGACCAAGTGCTTCGAAGTGCTTCGGTCGCGCCCACGCCGCCCGCTGTTTTCGGGCGGCCTTACTGAAAGCGCATCGCCATCGCGGCCTCCGACTCCTCGCTGTCCGAGGGCCCCGAGGCGTCGCGCGGGCGCCTCGGCGGATTGGATGATGCAACGGTGAAATGCCAGGACCATTGGCCTAGGAAGTACACAAACCACATTGTAAAGACACTCATCACTGAGGAAGTGGTCCAAGGATGCTCTCCCAGTTCTTCTTTCAATTTGGGAGTCTCGCACTAGGAAGGACCATTGGCCCAATTCACTCACCAAGACAAACACTGTGGACTCCCCCTTGCTACGTAAGGGCCAGCAGCGCTAGCGCGGCAGTGGCGTCTCCTGGCCTAGATGCTTTGTTTGACTTCTTGTGATAGCCTCCAACAAAAAGAGGGTGATGTGCCATCCACAGGGGGTGTGGCATCCTGTTCTCGGCTTACTTCCGTTTCTGTGATGTGTGACGTGCTCAACTTGACAACAAACAATCTCCTTCGATATCCCGACAGAAACTGGGCCGACATCATCCATGATTCCCGCGTCTGACCGATGATATTCTTTGCGATTCCTGAGTTCTGCCGATTACTAGTCATACTGTACCTTTTTCACATGCAATCATCTCAGTTTGCAACTGACTTACTCCAGGAAAAGTCATGGAGAGGCTTGCAACAAGCACCCCAGATTCCTTGAAGTTGCAAGTTTGCACACCAAGGGCGTTTTGCCGCAGCATTTTTTTGATACCAGTACGACCATTCCGATTATGAAGTGCTGCCTCAAGCCACTACACCAAGACTTTCCTGCACCAAAAGCCAAGCCTGTGACGAGCCTTCACACCACGTGTTTTTACACCAACCCTTGAGTCGAAGAGGGGGAGCGCAGCCTCCGGTCCTCCATCTTGGAGAGCCGACTAATTATCGTTGAGTCGTACGGCTGCCGCCCAGTGTTTGCCAGGATGGATTTTAGAAAAACATCCTCGTGAAGCAATGGCCACTGACGCTTCCTGAGGAACAAGCGGCTATGAAACCCTCGTTCTGGTGTAGCCGTGTTCTGTCGTCATCTGGTGTACTCCTTACCCTCAAGAGTGGATGAATATCTGGTCCCTGGAAACTCCCGGTGTTCGTCCGAGCCCTGAAAAGCCGGCACATCCATCAACCAAATTACTCGTCCCTCGGCGCTTGCTTGCACTTCGCCTTGGAGTCTGTGACACTTCGGGGCTGCAAAAATCAGTGGATCATGGAAGATCATGCCTTTCAAAGAGAACCTTGCTCAGCCATAAGGACGCTCAGTTTCACCACTGATGGCAAAGGCAGGGTATGGCAGGATGTAGAAGTGTGAAGCTCAAGAGGCTATTCACGTTGTCGTTACACGAGCACATGACAAGAGTATTGAGTAGAGGAGTGCCAAAAGAACCAAGCTATAGAGGCATGTCTTTACTTCTGGATCCCAACTGATGCGCTTTTGCCGGCTTCACCCTTAAAAGAGTTTTCAGAAAAACAAAAAACTGTTAAAGCAGGACATAGCATAGACTCACGTCAGGGATTCCTGTAGGAAAGCTATGTTGGAAGTTGGAAGTGTCTATTCCCAGTGTGTGAAGGTAGTTGCAGGGGATACTAGGCCAATACTAGGTTTCGTTTCTCTGATGACCCCTGTCTCAATGTTCAAGAAACAGAAAACAATTTTTCCGGATCATGTATGAACAACAATCTGGATGGGATGTCGGAACAAATAATGGTGATTTCAGCAATGGCATTTGAATGCTAATGGTGAACTCATCCCAAAATACCCATTGTTGTGACATGTACTGAATCGATTGAAAGCTCAGAAGCACAAAAAACAATTCACCAAATAAATGCCACAACACCCATCTTGAGCAAACAACTGTTTCGGAGACATCTCTCATGAGACGAATTTTCACTGCAGTCCAGGTCGCCTGTAGTGTTTCAGGATCCATGTGTTCCGTGACTTCGCGACAGGACGCTTCGCTCAAAATGTGATGCTGACAAGCTGACCTCAGGCGGTAGCTTCGGAGTCTCCCCAAAGAAATCCAGAATCAGGGACAGTTGAGGTTGTCTAATTTCCTCCCAGTTGGGCGGGTGGGCTCGATATTCTCTTGGTTGTTGTCTAAATAGTCCTAGAATGTCCTAGATGTATTCGCTTTCAATTTCTCTGCGATGGTTGATCTTGTTGCAATCCTTGTTTTGGCGGACGACTTTTTGTCGTGACTCTGTGACTGGAATTGTGATTGTGGTTATTGTTGTTGTTGATGGTGGTCGTTGTTGATGTTCATGCTTGTCATTTGCACCGTCAGCCTTCCCCACCCCGTGGGCATTCCCACCTCCTTTCCTTGCTGCTGCGGTGTTGCTCATCAAAGCCTTGTGGCATAATTTTAAGTGTCAACTGCATCCAGCTTTCAAAAAGTTAAAGTTGTAATTACATGTGAATATGCACACTGCATGCATGTATGAGTACTGTGTATCATTACACACACACACACACACATCGTATGTATTTTTCACTTTATCCGATACATGGATGTTACATGATTTTACCAGGTACCTCTGTTGTCATATGCCATACACCAAGCTGCCACTTCGCAAAGCTTCGCTCACAATTTGGACACTCATATCCTCGGTTGTGATCATGGAAAAACCTTCTCTCAGATCTGCCGCTCCTCCCTGGTTAATCGTAGTTCCCAACAAATTGAAAACGCATTCAGCGGTTGTCGAAACGGCTCCAAAAGGCAACGACAACTTCTTGCTATCCTGGATGAGTGGTCAGAATTCAAAAGTTGCTGCGGGTAGATGTCAAACCGATTCCGTGTTTAGCAGTCTTGTAAAGATGCAAATCGAAAAGACTATATGCAAATATTCAACGACGTATTAAAAGGGGATGCTTGAAAAAAAACATGACATACAATAATCCAATCGTTGTATCTACATCCCTAAAACATAAGACAGTCTACGTGGAATCAACCAAACCCAATGATCTTTCACGACTGCTCCACCAGAACATCCGCTCTACTACAAACGGCTCCCCATCTGTTCCTTCATGTTCACATGTTTCGATGGTGGGAGGGTGAATTACTCAATGGTACCCGTGAACGACCTTTCTGCCAAACTTGGGTTTTGCATCCTTGTCAATCCAGTGGCCCAAGGGCAACCATGAGAACCCGCCAATAAATTCGCTTCAAGCAGGTTTAAAGCCATGAAAACACCCTGTTTTTTTTCAATTGTGCTGCAGTTTTCCCAACAAAATCATGCGACTTGTTCATTTCTCATTTCTGCCCAATCTTCGAGGCATGTTCAACAAGGCCTTCTCCGGTGGAATCTCCGACCGGTGCATCGCACGCTCGGAGGGGGGGCCCAGCACTGCCTGGCGAGACGACGATGCCCGGTTTCCGCTGCACAAGAACCATCCCCGGACACCCTGTCGTCTATTGAACGACATGATTCGGACACTGGCGCGATGCAAAGCAGTAATCATCTTGCGCTAAGGCGACCACCAAAGGACGTGACCTGTGATGCGTATAGTGCAAGAAAACTATGAAAAAGGGATGGTTCACGGGGTGGAAAAGTTTTCACAACCTTCAGCTGTGCCCAGGCCGTTCACCAGGCAATGTGGTGTCAACGCCCTTTTCCGCTTATGGGACGCGACTGACAACAACCCCAATAACATGCAGTTGCATGCACGTGCTGTTTGTTTTGTTCTCTTTTTTCTGCTCCTGCCGCGGACGCGCGTCGAGTCGAGTCTCCAAACGAGCGTTTCGCACGAGACTTCCTCCACAAGTCACGCGTCAAGTGTCCAAAGAATGTTTTGCACGACACTTCCTTCAAGAGTGACGCTTCAATTCTCCGAAACGAGCTTTTCCTCCGAGGTTTCATGGGGAGTCTTCAAAACGAGCGTTTTGTGCAGTTGGACTTGGACGGTACGGTTGCATCGAGCAAGGAACAGATGTGCCTTTTCCCCTGTTTCCTGTGGTTGATATCACTCTGGATGTGTTGCGCGCACCGGCGCTATCTGGGAAGCGCTCATACCCTGGCAACGCAAGATGATTCTGCA